ATTGACTGGTGCATATTGTCTTTCACACTTCATAGAGAGGGGACTTGTGGTGGGAGGATTTATTTTTAGCCTCAAAGATGGTATCCGTTGGAAAATCAACAGCTAACAATAGTAAGTGTCAAAATAATTCTTGACAATAGACCACAGACAACCAAATGGTCTACTCCCTTAGCAGAAAGCCAGCATGGAGCTCAGTTTCAGAGAAGCAAATAATTACTACTTCCAGAGGCTGATAGAAACTTGTTTCAAGCAGATGGCTGGACAAAAAGATACTGTTGGAAATAATTTCCTAGTATATAAAGTAGATGTGGCTCTATATAATTTCTTCCTGAAATTAACTATCTCCTTTCTGCTGGGCACAAAATTCTCAGTCTTTCCCTGTCTAGGATCCCTGGTTCTAAAGAAATGAGATGGTGGCAGGATGTTCCTAGAAGCTAGGGACAGTCATACACTTCATGTCTGCATGTTCTTACCTTTCCAAGGTACAGATACAAGAGGTCCACCAGCCTGCCCTCCCATTGGGCAGAAGATCTGTGGTTAGCTGTATAAACATTAGGGCTTAGATAAATGGCTTCAACTTTATTCCAATACCTGTTAGTCCTTCCTACTAGAGTTTACAGGGCTTCCCTGATGGCTCAGTGGGTAAAGAATCTGCCCACAATGCAGGAGATACAGGTTTGATCCCTGGGTCGAGAAGATCCCCTGGAGGAGGGCATGGCAACCCACTCTGGCATTCCTGCCTAGAGGAATCTAGGCACAGAGGAGCCGGGCATGCTACAGTCCATGGGGTTGCAAAGAGTTGGGACATAAATGAAGCAACTGAGCACGCACGCACCAGAGTTTACATTCTAGAGCAACCCCAGAGAAACACTTAGTTTCATTCTGTTAGACACAAGCCCTCCAAATACCCTACAAAGCCAAAAAAAATGATCAGTTGGGCTCAGATGCTAATGAAGTCTGGTGCCAAGGGCCCATTTATAACCTACAGACTCAGCGTTCTTGGGATGAGTAAATTAGATTCAGGTATACTGGGAATCCTCTAAAAATTATACACCATATGTTGTGTGTGTGTATGTGTGTGTGTGCATGTGTACGCACGTGTATGTACACGCATGCATGTGCAATTTTCTAAAGAATGATTCCACAGTCTTCTCACATTCTTTAAGGATCCATGCCACCTGAATGGATAAGAACCATTACCTATTACAGATACTCTGGTCCTTTGAAGAAATATTATCTAGACAGCTCTCCCTCATCACTGGCTCTGACATGCCCAGGAGTACCAAGTTTACCACCAGTTTATGAATAGGCTTACTTACTTCATTTGTAGGTATTCAGTCTTCTCCTGGGATCAGCCATGAGCCAATAAGTTATGCCAAGGCATTTGGTATCAGCAAAGTCTGACTAAATCAATTCATTTCCTAGAAGGTGACAAGAGGGAGGTTATATGATTAAATCCAGCCCATTTGATATTGTCTGTTAGGGCTGATATAACAAAACACTACAGACTGGATAGCTTATAAACAATAAGAATTTACTGCTCAAGGTGAGGTGCTTGAGGCTGGGAAGTGCAAGATCAAGGCAGCATCACGGCCCTTTCCTGGTACATGGCTGGAGCCTTCTTGCTGTGTCCTCGCATGCTAGAAGGGGCCAGGAAGGTCAGTGGGGTCACTACTGGAGGACTCTACCCTACGACCTCGTTACCTCCCAAAGGCCCCATGTCTGAATTCCCTCACTGCTGGGGGTTAATATTTCAGCACATGAATTCTGGAGGAGGAGGGGACATAAATATCTGGGCAGAATGGATATTTTCCACAAATATTCTCCATCAAGACTGTAAGTTGACACCCAAAACAGCACTGGCTAGAGACAATGTGAAAATGAAATGGAAACACATGAGTGCTACCAAGATGTTTGATCCATTTTTTTTTTCTTTGTAAGCACTGAAACCTGGATTTCATGGTCTATGCTTTGAATTAATAACAGCTTTTATAGTTACTGCCATATATTTTGCATAACTTTAACAGGCAAACCTTAATTGGCTCACTGAACTGTATCTCTGTGAGACTGCTGTTTTCCTATAAAACAGCAAATGCCAACAAGATAGACATCCCTGTTCTAGGCTGTTTACAGTTCTAAGAGGTAAACAGGCAGTTATTACATTAAAAACATTCCTTGTGTGCCAGCAACATCTAATTTTAACCTGTGGGGCTTTCAGAGGAGGAACTTAGGGCTAGAGATGGCACAAAGAAGCCCCAATGCCTGCTGCCTAAAACCTGAAGCTCGGTCTGATTCCATTGTGGTTAAATAAACCACATGCTTCTCAACATCGCTGTTGTCTTCAGGTACAAAATGGGACAGTATTGGCCACTTAGTCTATCCATAAGAGCCTCTTATTTTCTAACTAAGAAGCTAAGACTCTCTCAGTTTCTAACTTGCCTTGAGACAGTAACTTGGAAGCATTTTGCAGACCCATAGCAAGAAGTGCCACTTTTTAAACTGGATGTAAAATAAATTGAGTGGAATTCTGATATTCACATGCATTAACTTCCCTTGAAGGGACCAACACACTAACTTGGGCAGAACCTACAAAAAGCTCAGTTGAGGTGTCACCTCCTCGGTGGCCAACTTAATTGCTCCCTCCTCTGTGCTGGCCAAACGTGTCATAATTGCTAGCTGTTACGCTGGTCTCAACAGGCTGAGGTCCTCTGGGGCAGGCACTATGTTTTATTTATCTCTGTATCTTGGGGAGTGCATATAAATTGCCAGCTTGCTGACTGCAGGGATTCATTTAATGAGAGCCGAGTGTTAGACCGGAATCCCATCCCAATTCAGAATACACTCTGAAGTGTGCCTACCAGTTCACATGCCTTGGTAAAGTACTGAAGGACCATGTACTTCCTGTTTGCACGTGCAAATCACAGCAGGAAGGGGGGATTCTGAACACAATTCTCAGGGCCCCACGAGGGGTGAGAATATTAGAAAAACCCTGATGACTAAAAATAATTCATCTCAATGATTCAGCAAAAGCATTTTGTGGTGCCAGACACTGTTCTAAGCCTCCTTGTAAAGCACAGGACAGTTACCGCATACATTACATACGAGGAAATTGGCACAGAAAGGCAGAGTTACTTGCCAAACAGACGAGCCTTATGTGAGTATTGTGAGTATTCTCCATGCCTCTCACCTCTGAAATGAGGCAGGGTGAATCCTTTTTTCCTCTGTGTTCCCACAGACCCACTACTCAGGCCCGGGCCTCACTGCTTTGTGCTGTGACAGGAGATCCATGTCGGTCTCGTTGGCCAAACACAGTTGGAGGACTGGGACTGTGTGTTTCTCGGTCACCTTTCTGCCTCCCCACTTAGGGTAACTGGCTTACAGGAGCTTCTCAGTAAGTGTCCCCTGAGAATGAGGGCAGTCTCTTTCCAGAACTACCACTTTTGAGGAATTCCCTGGAGCAGTGGTTGCCAACCATTTCGGCACCAGAGACTGGTTTTGTGGAAGAAAATTTTTCCATGGACTGGGGTGGGGTTGGGGGAGGGATGGTTCCAGGATGATTTGAACACATTACATTTATTGTGCACTTTATTTCTATTATTATTACATTGTGACATATAGTGAAATAATTAATACAACTCATCATAATGCAGAATCAGATCATCAGGCATTAGGTTCTTGTAAGGAGAGCGCAACCTAGATCCCTTGCATGTGCAGTTCACAGCAGTGTCCGTGCTCCTATGAGAATCTATTACTGCTGGTGACCTGCCAGGAAGTGGGGCTCAGGCAGTAATACGGGTGATGGGGAGTGGCTGTAAATACAGATGAAGCCTCACTCACTTGCTGGCCGCTTACCTCCTACTGTGCAGCTCGGTGGGGGTGGGGGGAGTTTCTAAAAGGCCACAGATGGCTATCAGTCTGTGACCCCAAGGCTGGGGACCCCTGACCCAGAGAAAAGGATGAACACAGACTCATCCTATGGCCTCAGTTGTCTCTGCAACCTCTGGTGAACGTAAATATTTAACAAGGACTTCCCTTGCATTACTGTTTATAGTGAAAAAGGAAAAAACTACTTACAGATCCACCTCAACTAATAGGAAAGTGGTCAGCAAGTCACAGCATAGGCATCCACTGGAAAGTACGCCACCACTAAAAACGATGGGGTAGATCAGCAGCTGCACAGAGATCAAATCTGGTGTTGCACCAAATGTGAATCAATAGGTACAATATTCCTGTGCCCTGGAACACCTATTCTTGGCGGAAGAGAACACAGAGCTGAGTGGATCACATGCTGCAGTAGAAAGCGTATCATGCTGTAAGAAAGATTAAAAACTCAGACTAAAGCCCAGGACACTTACAGGAATGTGCTCAACTTTTGCCTTTTGAGGACATCGGAGTGCACAGTGGGGGCCATCAATAGCTCTACTCAAGTAATGAAGGGGTCCTAAAGGGGGAACAGCCAACAGTGGGGTTATGGTGGATGTTTTGACAACAAAAAGACATCTGTATCCTTAGTCGCTGGTGTCTTTTCATTTTTTCAAGTATGCAGCTAAAAATCATAGGGTTTGAAAGTTCGCATCAAACACCAAGGATGTTGAAAATCACTGGTAAATAAAAATCTTTAATGACATGGAAAGATGGTGATACATCAAATCAAAGAAGCCAGTTGTGAAACAGCATGTGTGATACAATCCTGTTTTTATTATAGAAAGAATATGCAGGCACGGCAAAGGAACTGGAGGACAGAGACCAAAACTGGGCTGTAAACAGGACTGCTCTTCGGAAGATGGGAATAGAAGCTTATTGTTTTCTTTTTGTTCACTGGTAATTTTTCACTGCTACAAAAAAAGAGATGTTCTATTTATATACTGAGAAAATTTCATAGAAGTTAAAGTTTTTAAAAAGTTAGGGGGTATACTCATCCATGTGTATATGTGCACACATACACGTACACCCCCCACCAAAGTGGAGTAAGGCTTTTAATCTTTATTTTTTGGCAGCAGCTACAAATCCTCTGCCACATCATTGTACTCACTCAAAATTTTATTGGGGGGGGGTAGGCATTTGCTGGGATCATAGAATCTTCTGTACAAAAACACAAGGGTGTACCTTGCAGGTACACCCCCATCAGATTCTCTCGGGTGGTAGGCAGACGTGATGTAGACCACTCTTCTCAGCAGGAGGTAAAAATTAGGCAGTAAGCTGATACTGTTTCTTCCATTCTGCAAATCTTTTGCAAGAACACAAGCAGGCCTAAAGAGTTGCAGTTGCTTTTTGATGGTAGAGACACCCTGCTCTTTAAGGGCGACAAACCAGAGTTCCCTAATAACCTGGCAGCCCATCATGCACAACTTCATAACGAACTGTCCTTCACTGCTGACAGCACACAGGTGTCTGTGTGTGACAGATGCCCGATAAATGTCGGGAAGGCGCCAGCTAGTCATCAGTGCATGCTCGGTCGCTTCAGTCGTGTCCGACTCTTTGCAACCTTATGGACTGTATCTCGCCAGGCTCCTCTGTCCGTGGGATTTCCCAGGCAAGAATACTGGAGTGGGTTACCATGTTCTCCTCCAGGAGATCTTCCCGACCCAGGGATCAAACCCACGTCTCTCCTGTTTCCTGCATTGGCAAGTGAGTTCTTTACCACTAGCACCACCTGGGAAGCCCCTAATCATCAGATCCATTAATAAAACATCATCTAATTGGATGCAGTTCAGCCCAGCTATACTCACTCATCCATAAATGTGGTGAGAACAAAAGCTGAAACAACTCTCTATTAGCAAATCCAGGGGGATGAACAGCAACACAAGTCCAGAGTTCAAAGTGACAAGCAGTTATTGAAGATACTATGGAAGTACAATCAGTCACTCAGTGCAGTGATGAGGCCAAAAGTGTAAGGATTTTACAAGATCATGAGTTAATGACTGGACTACAGAATGGTAAATAAGAGGTGATAAGGCCAGTGAACCAAACTGCCAAACTGCTGAACTGTTAAATAACCAATCATTTTTAGGAAAGAGAATATGGTTACCAGACATCTGACAGAATGTAATTAACATACCACTGTCATCATTTTGAAGACCTACCTTCTGTCCAACCTCACTACTCCATATGCTTGTCCTCAGAATATTTTTCCCTTTGAAAAATTCTGAATTAGGTTGGTATTGGGAAAAAGAGTCTCCAATTATTCCAAAGGATGGAGCACAGATGGGAATGTTTACCTGTTACTCTTTTTAAAAAAATATTATTATTTATTTATTTAGCTATGCTGGGTCTTAGTTGCGGCATGAGGAATCCTTGATCTTCACCTGCAGCATGTAAACTTTTAGTTGCGGCATGTGGAATCTAGTTTCCTGACCAGGGATCGAACCTGGGCCGCCTGCATTGGGAGCATAAGTCTTAGCCACTGGACCACCAGGGAAATCCGTACTCTCTTTACTGGACCCATAATAGCATTAATAAAAGCAGATCACCTTTTAAAGCTTAACCAGAAATATGGTAACAGCACTTCCTACAGAACCCTCAGCTTTAGCCACTGTTCCACTTGATCTGGGAACTGTATCCATGTTTAGCCATAGCAGAGAATTAACAGTTACCATTTCCCAAGAGCTGAGGATGGGCCAGGCACTGGATGAGCCCGAGGCAGATGTTATTCTTTTACTTGTCACAAATATCTTGGAGGTGAGGACAATCATTGCCTCACTCTACAAATGAAGAAACTGAGGCTTAGAGAAGTGAAGTAACTTGTCTGAGGAGATACCGCTAGTAAATCACTCCATCTTGCTATGGGATGGAGCTCAACTCTTGCTCAACTACTTCACAGGCTTTTTGTGAGGTCCAAATGAGATCCTATGTATGAAAGCCTTGAAAACTGTAAAGCATTTGACAAATAGCATGTGTTATTTTAAAAAGTCAGAAGACTAACTCATAGTCCTTAGGAGCACAACGCTTCAATCATCACAGCTTCAGTAGAAAGACCACACTGTCCCCCAACCTCCAGTTCTTTAAATAAAGGGCATGGGATTTTCTTAAGCATATCTTTTAAAGATCAAGGGATCAGGTATGCATGCTGGTACTTGAACTGGTCTTTGCGGGGAGCTTTAGTGTCTTAACTTTAATGCAGACACCCTGCCCGAGCTATTCATCCTGACTAGAGCAAGTAACTATTCCACTATTACTATCAATTCTGTTCCAAAGACACAACTACCGTAATTTTACACCCTAAATCTAAGCAATACAAGAATGAAAGGGGAAAAAAAACAAGCAATACTTTCTCATGAAAGGGCTACATTACATAGAGCAATTTTTTTTATTATTATCATGATTAATAGTTAAGTACACTGTGTAATTCCCAGGCAACATAAAAGTGGATGATTTATATACAGAACACCTGTATTTTTTTTTTTTTTTTGGAATCAGTAGGACTCACCAGTCTATTAAAAGGCAACCACGCAATTAAAACCTGCACAATTCAGAAAATGCAGTATTTGAGCAATTAGAAAGTCAATTGTCAATTCATTTTGGCAAACCTACTGTGTAATCCCACTTTTCAAGTAACGTCAAGTGCAAATTCCAATATGTCCTCTCATCTAAAAATCACTGCAAATTCCATCATGTCCTCTCATCTAAAAATCACCACAACAAACAACAACCCCAACCAAATCTACCTGCCCTGGTGAGTCACGATTCAGCCCATGTGACTAGCCCCAAGCATGGTCGAGGGCCAGTCATTCCAACATGTGCTGGAGCACCGAGGGGTCCACGTCCACGGCCTGCAGGCCCCTGTGCAGGCTCTGGAAGGTGGCCTCCTTCCCGAAGCGCTGCCTCCAGCGCACGAAGGCCTCCACCACCTGGGACTGCACGTTGTGGGGGTGATTGGCCTTACAGCGGTAGACGTCTGTCTGGGAGAGCCCCAGAGACAGCACCAGAGGCTCCCACTCGGGGCCCAGCCTCAGGGCCAGCTGGTTGATCTGCCGGTCAGACGGGGAGCTGTGCAGGATGTGTGGGGGGACTCCAGTCATCCGGTCATCTGGGGAGGAGAAAGACACCATGGTGAAGAGAGGGCGCCGACACATCAGAAAGTGAGAAAAGTGTTAGATGCTCAGTTCTGTCTGACTCTACATGACCCCATGTAATATAGCCCACCAGGCTCCTCTGTCCACGGGATTCTGCAGGAAAGAACACTGAAGTGGGTAACCATTCCCTTCTCCAAGGGATCGTCCCAACTCAGGGATCGAACCTGGGTCTCCTGCATTGCAGGCAGATTCTGTACTGTCTGAGCCACTAGGTAAGCCCAAACACATCAGACAGGGTAGGGACAGGCAGAAATGAAAAATGTGGGGGATGACACACATCCCAAGTGGCAGGGGCCCACTTTTAGTCTTCACAGGGGCTGCTCAGTAAAAATCCATATGTAGGGGCTTAGGAAACACTTAGCACCTAGGGACAGGTTTATTATAGAAAATGTGAAAACAAGAAAATAAAAATAATTTGAAATCCCATCAGAAACCCATTCAGAATACTTCGATCTATTTCTTTTCAGTCTTTTGTGCATAAAACATACATTTATGATTACATTGCAGGTACTGCTCAGATGTTAAAGAATCTGCTTGCAATGCAGAGGACCCAGGTTCAATCCCTGGGTTAGGAAGATCCCCTGGAGAAGGGAATGGCAACCCAGTCAGGTACTATTGCCAGGAGAATTCCATGGACAGAGGAGACTGGCAGGCTATATTCCATCAGGTCATAAAGAGTTGGACACGACTGAGCGACTAAAACACACGATGCTTTGTAACATGCATTTTTCACCTCCATCTCCTTCACTAGGGAGGCCAAGCTGAGGCTTCTGGAGGCATCTAAGAATGCCTTCATGGCCCTCCTCCCTCTGGAACTGGCCTGTGGGGGCAGGGGTGATGTTGTCTCCTGTAGGAATGGCCAGTGCTAGAGGGTAATTTGCTAGAGGGTAACGGGCTGTACAGAACAGCTAGTCTCGCCTGACCAACTTGAACACCTCTGAGAAAAGTGAGTTTCTACAGAGGCATGAGCTAAGAAGGGCCTGAAGAAAAAAATAAAACCTAAAAGGCCATGAGGGAGCAGCACACATCACAGGAGGAGGATGACCACCTGGCTGAGCTCAGAAGAGGAGAGCAAGCACGTGCTGCCGATGGGCAATGAGAGAACCTGATATTGCATTTCCTAAACTTGAGCCCTGTCTCCCCAAGGCCAGTCTGCTGAGGAAGTCTAACATCAAGAGAGTGACTACGGATGTGCTAAAAGGTGCCACTAGTTATACAGAAGGCCTTCCAGAAGAAGGAAATTAAAAGCTAAGTCCTGAGCATGAGGAGAAGGAGCCCAGTGAAGAGGAAGGAAAGAAGGGTACCCTATGCAATGGGTAAGGCATGTGCAAAGGCTCTGAGGCAACAGAACATGGCAGGTGAAAGACAGTCACTGCAGCAAAGAGCAGAGGTTGAGACACACTCCAAATATCCAAAATGATGGTGTCAGTCATGGGTTAGACCAGGACTGAAAGCTCAGGTTTCCATACAATAGCACCTTGAACTACATTTTCTGTCACCAGCATTCCAGGAATTCACGTCAATCCTACTTCACACTCACAGCTCACTGTTTTGATTTATGAATTCAATGAGAAGGCAAGAGGCATCCTGTTAGAATAGTTGATATCTTCCACGGCATGGACCTTTGGTCTCTAGGCAGTTGCCAACAGCTTAGGCACAAGTTGCAAAAATATTGCCAAGGACTCTTTCTGGTATCTGTCAAGACTGCTATTTTTTTTTTAATGATTAAGAAGCAAAGTAGAATGATGATACTACTGAGCAATATTTTATATTAATACTAGCACTTCTATGGCTTTTCTAAAAATATGGGCTCAAACATACAAAAAAGTACAAAGAAGAAAACAAAATTTCCACTATCCTACCATCTTATTGACAGTTAATGAACATCATTCCAGACATCTCTTTATGTGTGTATACTATGAGAAGGAGAATATAACAGTCTTTTTCAATAAGAGTTACTTAATTTTGCTTGAATATAACAAGGAAAACCAGCAGAGGTGACACTAAATGACTTTCTGATCTACAATTAAGTGCTTTAAAAAAAAAAAACCCAAAACAAATAACAAAAAACAAATACACAAAATATTTAATGCTGAGAAAAAGATTAATGAAAATTTAACAGGTAAACAATATGTTTCCACATTAATGCTATATTTATATTCTCTTTTTTCTCATACCTCTTGATTTTTGCTGCTTCTATCATTTTTATTTTGTTGGATGCACAACATTTACATGCTTCTGCAATAATAATTGTCCCCCATTATCTAGTCTTAAAACTACATTATAATGGTTTGAATGTTCACCAGTGTTTTTTGTTGTTGTTATTGTTTTTTTAACACAGCTTTTCTGCTCCTGAGTCTGTTATTTTGATTTGAGTCTCATTTGGTCAATCTCTTCATAGGGTGGTTTTTTTTCCAAGAAAGGTTCATGGTTACTATATTCCTTGAGTTCTTTCAGATCAAGGCTATCTGCTTAGTGCCTTCACTGTTGAACAAGAACAATATTTATAAAAACAATGTCCTATTATATTATATATTAAATTATGAATATAATTTTATATTGTTTAAATAGTTTTATTTCTCTTACATTTGTAGAACTTGCTCATATTTTATGGTAGAGAAAACTGGTATGGAGAATTCTGATACTATCTTCATCATCCCCTTTTAGGGATAACCTGCTTTTTCTCTCTGGAGTTTGCAATACTGAAGCTTTAGACCAGAGTTTATCTTGGTCACTCTATATGCAGCATGGCCTCTGACCAAAGATTTAGTTCTTCCTTCTTTTCAAAAAAATCTTTCTGAGTTATATCTTTGTATTATTTTTTTCTATTCCTCATGCTGGATGGTTTTGCCTATCTTCTACAGCTATCATTTTCTCTTATCATTTCAACTTCCTTCCAGTAATTATCTCATGCCTTTCCACCATGCCATTCATTTGACTACCACTTAGGGCTATTCTGTATTTTTTTTTCCATTTATTTTTATTAGTTGGAGGCTAATTACTTTACAATATTGTAGTGGTTTTTGCCATACATTGACATGAATCAGCCATGGATTTACATGTGTTCCCCATCCTGATCCCTCCCCTCCCACCTCCCTCTCTACCTGATCCCTCTGGGTCTTCCCAGTGCACCAGGCCAGAGCACTTGTCTCATGCATCCAACCTGGGCCAGTGATCTGTTTCACCCTAGATAATATACGTTTTGATGCTGTTCTCTCGAAACATCCCACCCTCGCCTTCTCCCACAGAGTCTAAAAGTCTGTTCTGTACATCTGTGTCTCTTTTTCTGTTTTGCATATAGGGTTATCGTTACCATCTTTCTAAATTCCATATATATGTGTTAGTATACTGTATTGGTGTTTATCTTTCTGGCTTACTTCACTCTGTATAATGAATTCCAGTTTCATCCATCTCATTAGAACTGATTCAAATGAATTCTTTTTAATGGCTGAGTAATATTCCATTGTGTATATGTACCACAGCTTCCTTATCCATTTGTCTGCTGATGGGCATCTAGGTTGCTTCCATGTCCTGGCTATTATAAACAGTGCTGCGATGAACATTGGGGTGCATGTGTCTCTTTCAGATCTGGTTTCCTCAGTGTGTATGCCCAGGAGTGGGATTGCTGGGTCATATGGCAGTTCTATTTCCAGTTTTTTAAGGAATCTCCACACTGTTCTCCATAGCGGCTGTACTAGTTTGCATTCCCACCAACAGTGTAAGAGGGTTCCCTTTTCTCCACACCCTCTCCAGCATTTTCCTTTTGGTTCAAATCTTTTTTTTTAATATTTATTTTTATTTATTTGGCTGCATAGAGTCTTAGTTATGGCACGTGGTATCTAGTTCCCTGACCAGGGTTCGAACCCAGCCCCCCTGTATCGGGAGTCCAGAGTCTTAGCCACTGGACCACCAGGGAATTCCCTGGTTCAAATCTTATATCATATTTTTGTTGCCAATTTTTCTTGGCCCTTCAATCTTTAAAAATCCCTTTCCACTGCACACCCATTAGGATGACTTCTATAAAAAAAAAAATAAGTGCTGGTGAGGATGCGTAAAAATTGGAACACTTATGTGCTCTTGGTGGGAATGTAAAATGGTGCAGCTGCTATGGAAAACAGTTCCTCAAAAAATTAAACATGGAATTATGATCCAGCAATTCTAATTTTGGGTTATATACCCAAAAGAATTGAAAGTAGCAATTTAAAGAGATATTGTACATCCATCTTCAAGCAGCATTGTTCACAACAGCTAGAAAGTGGAAGCCACTCAGGTATCTATCAAGGGATAAACAGATAAATAAAAAGTGGTATATTATACATCAGAATATTATTCAACCTTAAAAAGGAAAGAAAAAATTCTGACTCATGCTGTAAAATGGATGATTCTTAAGGACATTATTCTAGATGAAATAAATCAGTCACAAAAGAGACAACTACACCATGATTCCACTCACATGAGGTACTCAGAATAGTCAAATTTAATGGGACAGAAAGAATGATGGTTGCCAGGGTCTTGGGAGGGGTGAATGAGGAGTTGTTATTTAACGGGGACAAAGTTTCTGACTTGCAAGATGAAAAGGTCTGGAGGTTTGTTGCACAACAACATGGATGTACTTAACCACTGAACTGCACACTTGAAAATGGGAAAGATAGCAAGTTGTATATTTTACCATTAAAAATAAAACATGAAAAGAATCTTGTTTAATCATAACACTGAGTTTTTATTTCTACTGAACTGACACTGAACTCTTCTACAGCATGAAATGGTTATGAGATTGAGTTTTCTTGGACTCACTTTTATCCCAAACCAGATTGGTTGCATGTTTATTTTTTGCAAGCTGTGTTCCTGTCTTTCATTCCTCACTTGTATGCAGTGTTTTCACAACACTTAGCTTCATCTTGTTCATACTTGATGTGGGTATCTCTGTTTGGTCACCTACAGTAAGTTGATATAT